AAGTGAATAGTTTTCATACCGTATATTTTAATTTTTATTCAAAGAAAAATCTTTTTTTTACGAAAAATGGTTTTACCATGAAGTACGATGAATTAACGAGAATTTTCTTTTCTCACGTCTTCTCTTTTTTTTCTTTGCATTACGTCAATCGATACGATATCTTAAACTTAGGTTTTTGACGAAATTCGTCCTCTCAAGCAAGAAAACATAGAATTCCCACAGTAATCACAAGTCAATATGAAAAGTTTTGAAAAAACTGACGAAATTTTAATGAATTTTGGGTATCCATTGTTCATTTGTAAAAGTGTTTGTATATATAACATCTTTATTCAGGTATGCTTTGGCAATTTTTCTTTTAAAATAGCTACATAAAGTATGTTTAATGCATAATTCTATAGTACAAGATATACACACGCTTTGCTATTAAAAATAGTGACTCACATATCCATTAATACTTATTTTATTACTTCGTTTGGAGTGATATGAAATTTTTTTGACGCTGTTAGTTTTAAACATATGCTTGTTGGTTCCATAAATGACTCTTGCAACAATGTAAAAGAGTATATTATGATAAAAAATAATGTAATTAACAAATGCTTACGCATACATATAAGTCATGGACATTAACTTTACAAAAACTATTCATGTGAGAGAAAAAACATCTGCAGATAATAGACACAAATGATAAAACCAAAAGAAGAAAGTAATTCCAGGAAGTTGACTTTGAAATGTGATTTTCTTACAAATATTATTTTATATACAACATTAAAAAACGTGATAATGATACAAAATTGAATAATGCGATAGATTATATATTCAATGTCATAAAGTTTTTATCTTTTCTCGTGCGAATTATTTTTACTTAAATCATGTACCTATTTTAGATTTTGGAATGATAAAAACAAAGATTTTAATTTTTCTGAATTTTATTTGGTTTCTATTCTTACCTATTATTGGAAAAGTGAAACCTAATTTCATTCTTCAAACTACGTAAATTTGATAATCACTGAAATCATATACCATGAAATCATTAATTTGCTGATACATTTATGCTAACACAGAAGACGCAAATAAATTGGGTGTTGTATGTATTTTTAAAAAATAAAATTTAGTATAAATACAGCTTATTCCTGCCATGCGATGTTTACTGCCATATTTGTTTCATTTTATTGTTACAAATTATTTTTATCGCAAATATTTATTAACGCTGTCAATGCAGTATGGTGTATTATTTCTGAATAGCACATTCTGCATCGGTAGCCCTACACTAGATGCAATAGTCAACAATTCCTTAGAAAGTCGATAAAGATAGGATAAATGCTTGATACTTTTATATAATATGGTGAGTTTCTTGTAGCTCAGCAGATCTCTCTCTAAGCCATTAGTTTACAAAACTATAGATTTGAAACAGTTTTTATTTATTCATCTTAATAAAAATTTAATTTCAGATTTATAAATTTAATGCTAACGAAAAATTTTGTATATTTTCTCTTCATAGATTTAATTAATAATTTTTAATAGAATAATATATCAACTATTAATTTGTAAGCAAAGTGAATTTAAAGCTGACTAAAAATAATATCATATCTTTCCTTAATGCTAGTTTTCTTTTTTACATCTAAAAAAATGAAAAACGTTAATTCAATTAGTTTTATTTTTAATAACATTCCTAATTTATGAAACAGTCAACATTTAATTCTTTAATTCCTTTAATGAAATGAATTATTTTTATATTTAATTTACAAATATTTTAGTAAACGATGCAAGAAAGAAACCTAGTTTCTCAGAATATGTAATAAAAATGTTGTAATGAAAAATTAATAAATCATTTTAAAACGAAATTAATATGATTTATTTGGGTGCGAATTAATATTTCAACTATTTAAATCTTAGCTATCGTCACTAATGGTTTCTAGATAATGTTTTATTGTTGATATTTCAATGATTTTCTATTTCATTTAAACCTGTTACTTTGGATAAATTTTGCATCCTAATTGCTTTGAAATTATTCTATTTATATGTGCGGAAGAAAATATAAAATTAGAAAAATGTAATGCTATAATTAAAAAGGAATTTAGTATATTTAACTGTAATGTGAATTTAAGATTTTGAGCCATGGGTGGTTATTAGGGTTTAAGCATTTTGTATTGTCGTTAACAAAATAATTACAAAATTACAAAATAATGCATACAAGTTCTTTAACTCTAGCATCTCTAATTGATGTCTGTAACTTGATAACAGGCTCTTCGCACACAAAATATTTAATGTGATTGGGATTATGAATAAAATAAAGTGTTTTAGTTAGTTTTAGTTAAATACTCTTTTAATAAATTTTGACAGCAAAAGAAAATTTCATTTATTCAGTTGAACATAATTAAAGAAATTAATTTATTTAATTCAATTAAATGAACAGCTTCAAACAAAGACACACATTAAAAAATCATCGTCAATGAAATGCTACAGAATACAACTGGTTATCCTAAACAGAGGTATTAAAATTAGCTGAATTAAATAATCCTTTTGATTAGAATTTAGAATCCAAATATTTTAGATCATTATTAATCCATATCAGAAATCTAAATTCGGATCATGATTCAAAAAAATAGTTTGAGCTAATACCGCTCATTAAACTATTCTCGTCATTCAAGTGCAGTGGAAAATAGCCGATCACCATAAACAGATTATGCATTTGGACTTAAAACATCTGATTGAAACTGAACTACTTCACTTCTTCGTTGGTATGCTTGCTGGGAATCGCTCACATAAAATCCTTTTTGTAATTTAAATTTATAATTCGACAGAATATCAAGTGTTTTTTTCGGCCCTCATATATTTTATTTGGTGGCGCCCCACACTCGAAAAATCTAAGAATAGCACGTAGTGTTTTTTCCACCATTTTCCAGATTTTTTTCCTCGAAATTATTATACTGTTAGAACAGATTATTTAAAGTATGTCGTTATGTTTGTGGCAGCATTGATGATTTCATTTCTTAAACTATTTAACTTCGTAATTATTCAGTTAATAAAGCTATTAAATTTTACAATTCGATGCAATTCTAATTTAACTTTAGATATATTGACATTAACTTAGCTGTATACTTTTTATATCTATTTATATGTGTGATCTAGCCAAAGCATAAATTTCGTATCTGAAGATTTTATCATCCGTTTCTCAGCTTAGAAAATTGTATTACGCAATTAATTATAAAAAATATAGCTTAGTTTAAATATTTCATATTCTGTAATAAACTATTAAATGCATATTTTTAATAGTATTAAAATCTCAATTATAAGAAAAAAACTTTTCCAAAGATTTATATTTTTCAGAAAAATTTATTAATTTTTCTTTTGTTTTTTAAAAGAATATTAAATTTTCTAAATTGTTTCTTGTAACTTGTTTTTTTTTTCAATTTTAATTCTGATGTTCCTTTCAAAATATTGAAATTTTTAATTTATTAAATTTTGAAATTTTAAAATACAAGAAATTGAATGCAGCATAAAACTATATAAATGCTACCCATGTAAATATTTATTTAGAATAAACTAATAAACTCAAATTTAAACTAAATAGTGTTAACGAGTCCATAAGCGCTTAAAAATTAACAATCGAAAGCAGCTCGGATATTTTTAGCAACGAACTTTGGTAATGATTTTGGAAAATTAATAATAAAACATGGTTTTACAGTATGGTTAAAATTATTTTTCAGTTTCATATTTTTTCTAAATATGTGGTAATAAGAACTCTGAATTTGAATACCAGAATTTCCGGTAACCTATTACCATGAGAAGAGAAAAATTACCAAATGAATGGTTTAGCTACCATATATTTTGGGTTTTATTGTGAGAATAATATATTTTTTTAAATAGAAATATCATTACCATACAGTATAGTAATGACATTTGCTTTATGGTAACCAGAAATGTCATTAACGAACGAAACGGTAATTCTGCCAGAAATTATTTTCTCAATGAGGAGTTCTTAATTTTAATTCGTGGGACATATTCAATATTTACAATAAACCGTGAAGTTATATTGTTGGAAGAAAGAATATAATATTTATGATAAAATACAAATTGATCAATTCAAATTCATCAAACTTTCATGTCAATCAGTTTGAGCTTACATGCGCTGCCTGAAAATACCACAGTTAGAATGAATACCAGATTCTATAAAATTCCATGATCTATAAAAAACAGTTTTTCCAATTTTAATTTTTGCATAATTTTTAAAATATTCAGAACAAAACACTATTTTCCGTCAGAGTAAATACAGCGTTTACAATCCAAAAAAATTAAAAATACAATTTAAGTAAACTTTCTGCAAATTAGTTTGTATCAAGAAAGCATCAATATCTACAAAAATATTGAATTAAGATGAAATATTGAATCTAATCTTAACTAAGTTGTGTTTTTTTTCTTTCAAAACAAACATTAACATTACTAAATAAATATGTTGAAGAATTTGTTATCTTTAAGTAACGAAATAATGCCCAAATAGAAAAGTTTTATGCCTCAGTCTATATTAATAACAATCAATATAATAAGCCAATGAAGTAAAGAAGAAATCAAAAAGAAATATTTTTTTCTCACCGAAAAATTAAGCATTATAAGTATAACTTTTAATTATAACTCCGTGATGGAAGATTTCATTTTTGGTTATAAAAGAGATTTCAATTTCTTCCACTTATTTAAAAATATTTTTTCTGGAAAAAATATTTATAATATATTATACCATACTGGTAAATTAAACTTGAAAACAAATATTTATCTTTCATAAAAGATGCTTTTTACCTCGGTTTTAAACTGAATTAACTTTTACATTCAAATTACAACAGGTTATTTTTTCATCAAACTCTCAAAACAAATGCATTTTCCCAAAAATTTCATGGAAATTGTATCATTAAAACGAGTCAGAAATTTTTATTAAATAAAAGAAGAAAAAAGTATATAGTTATAACAGCATACACGATATTAAGTAAATGGAATAAAATAATACTCACCGAGCATTTTCACTACTGATTTCCGGGAGTTAATTTTCTGCTTCGACAACATATTGCAGTCGTTTATGCTGTCGCTGTGGTTTCCAATGCTTACTTGTCGCAAGCGAATCCCAATAAATATATACAGTACAGAGATCAACGCCATGGGCAATACAAAGAACACAAATGTAGATACCTCGAAAATATGAGGAAAAGGACTGATGACGCTGCAAAGGGCAGTGCCCCAAAGAATCTGCTCACCAACTATTTCATACTTGATCCCAAATTGGAGGGCAGTTGGCAATGCCAAGACAGCTGCAGCAATCCAAATAAGTATTATTGTCTTCACTGCTCTAGGCAGGTGGGACATAGTTTGCGCACGGAATGGATGGCAAATCGCAACGTATCTTTCAACTGTAAACGCTGTAATGGTCAAGATTGATGCATTGGTACACATTTCCGATGTCCAGCCACGAATGAAGCAGAATAATTGTCCGAATATGTAGGGATACTTGTACCAAAGTTGGTATATCTCTTGTGGAAGTCCCAGAACAAGAAGAAGTAAATCAGATACCGCCAAGCTGAATAGATAATAGTTTGTTGCAGTGTGCATATATCTATTTTTTGCAATGACAGTGCAAGTGCATAGGTTTCCGATAACACCTGTTGTTAAAATAACACCATAAACTAAAGTCATTGGTATGACTGTAGTCAAAGGGTCACGCTGGGGACCTAAAAGACATTCTTCTATTGTCGTGTTGTCGCAGTTGCTGAAGTTTGAGTCATAAGTAGAGTTGGGGTTTATATAATAATAATCTTGTTCCATCCTTCAAATTATTATTGTTCTTTTTTCAAATAGGAAAAAAGTTTAAAAAAATCTCCGTTTTTTTTACTAAATTTAAACTATTGAAAATTTTGAAATCATTACATCGCTTAATTTAATTTTTTAAAGCCGAACTGATAAAATGAATGCATGCATATAAGTTTGAAAACGCTACGCAGCATAATTAGCGCATGCATTCTTTTACATTTAAAACTGATTAATATTTTTCTACGAAAAAATAATTTAATTTTTCTCTCAAAAAAGCAGATGAAAAACTCTAATTAAAACAAGCGATAAAAGTAATTAAACCAAACGATAGTCTCATTAAAGCAAACGATTATTCTTATCTCTTGTTTGCTTAGAAACTGTTGCTTTTCCTACTTCTCCCACTGCCTTCCAGAATAATATCTATTCTACGCGACTCCGGGATATCCGACGGTTAACTCTCGACCAGGAGTTTCTACTCTTGCTACTCCGAAAGCATCTCCCCTCGCTTTCAGCGCCCTCTTTGAGGGGAGCAAAAACTTTCTTCCCTTCATTTAAACTTGTCAATCTACAGTCAAACAAGCTTTGTTTAAAGTCCTGACAGTGAAAACAAATCCGAAATGATTAAAAGTACAAGAACTGAGAAACTTAAAAAGAGGAGGCAAGCAATCAGTTACTCGTATTTTTTTTTCAAGCATAATTATTTTTGAATGACAAGGAACATGACTCTAAATTAAACGAACCTTGAAAAGTTGGGTCTTATTCCGACACTTTATATAATTTGATTTATTTTTTATTATAACCACGGACGAAGTAATTTAAGTCGAATTTAATTTTTTTCCCAATGATTGTGGTTTTCTGATTGGCATTTAGAAGAAACAAGACTAGAGCATATCAACTCATGAATAAAGCATTTGACAGATAATTTATCAAAAAAACTCAAATGTAATTATTTTTTGTACAAAAAGAATTTTTAAAAAAATGGATAGTGGTGCGAGTTGCATGAGCCAAAACAAAACATGCCCACATCCCACACTTTAAAATTCTTTTATATGGCTAAAATATAGAAAAACAAACATTCTTGTATGTATATCTATGTACAAAAATGTTTGTTTTTCTAAATTTTAGCCATTTACAAGAATATATATATACTTTTTTCAGAGAATATAGAGCTATTTTTATGACAGTTTTGAGTTTGTAGCATTTGTGATTTATTTCTCATGCTTTGAATAGTTGCTCAAAAATGTATTTTTTGGTCTTACAATTATATGCTGAAATAGACAGTTATTTGTTGCTTTTAAAATTAATTATAATTTATTTGTATAAATCAGAATTTCACGCATTTTCGAAAATTTTATTTCTGCCTTCAGTATTTTATAATTTTAATCTGCTAATACTTTTGTTAGACATTATCATAAAAATGTCTTAGGACAAGAGGGAGATCAGCCAAACTTTTTTTTCCAAAGCTAACAAATATATATTAAATTGTACCGTGACACTGTTTCTCGATTATCACTTTACATTAATGCAGAAAAGCATAATATACAAAAAAAATCGTATTGTCTGAATGATTATTTTTATGATTATTTTCTCTAAAATCACCTTTATTAAGAATTTGAAAAAATGTCTACTTATTATACTTATCCAAGCACATGCTTATTATATTTATCCAAGAACTTACATTGATCCAAGCACTGTTTATAAATTATTTAATTAACGTCATTAAATTTAAATAAAAAAAATTTAAAAAAAAAAGATACTTTAGGTGGTGAGCATTGAAAAACGAACTCGTTCCACTAAACGAATTCGTTTTACTATTCATTGAGTTACTCATAAACACTTTTTATTTTTCGCTCCTCGATGTTTCTCTATTTTCAGGTAAAAACAACGGTTATCTTACAAGAAACTGAAGTGTTAGGTGATAGTTTCCAGGCTAAAAATAACATGTTTGAACGTCAAAAAACATCCTCTCCATCCTTTTTACTTTGACAAACAGATTTTAAACAACTTTTATTAGTCTGAAAGTAATTTTTTTTATTTGCTCTTTTTAATGCCTTAAAGATTAAGTTTATAAATATATAGGTATTTGATTTAAATATTAAATGAATATTTTTGTGAGATTACTCTTATCATACATATCTGAAGATTATCAATTGTTTTAGCGTACATATACATATGCAATGTTTACTTTAAGTGAAATATGATGTAAGGTACATGGCGATAACTGAATTTCATCTTTTGGTGGCTTCGCAAATGCAAAATCGTTGGGCTATCGTTGTCTCATGTTCACTGTTTCTGCCTATAAACCGTTTCTGCAGTTAGAAGATTTCAGGACAATATATGAATTACTACGCACATAAATGTCTATAAACTAGCTTTGTAATGTGCGGGATTACTTCATTTCGTATGAATTGCGTGGCTTTACAATGCGGTGACAAGTGCATATCAAAAGCTGACTCATTACATTATCTAGAATCTCGCAATCTTGACTATCTAATCACACAACGCAGAGAACGGTGTAAATTGAAATGCGACTATGCTTGACCACCGGAAGGTTAAGATAGAACTGCAGCTTATGACTTTTATTATAATAATAATTGATTTTTTCAACAAAAAAGCGTTTAAAACAGTTTAAACTATGCTGCTTTAATGCGGCTAATTATTTCTCAAGCATTCTTATTTGTTGAAAGACACCTTTAATATTATTGAATTTAATCAAATCTGATAAAAATTTCAGGAGTTTCTGAATACTTCCTTCCAAAAATTCTGGGGAAATCAAATTTTGAAGAAGTTGTATTGTTAAAATTCGATTTCTCAAAAACTATTCGACTGAAAGTCTTTTTTTGCGGTTATGTATGGCTAAACGAATTTTATAATTGTGAGCAAACATTTTTTAATTAAATAAATGTTTTGGAGGTGTTCTTAAAATGTTCTGGAGATATGGTGAAATAGGCAGGGGTTCAAATTTTGGTACCATATATTACGAAATTGCGGCTATCTCCTATATTTTGAGGTTCAGAAATCTGAATCTGGGAAAAAAATGTATGTTTATTCAGAGAAAGTACGTTTTTGAGTCTGATTTCGTATTTTAATATATCGTCTGCTTAATTAGTCAGCATATTTGAAATGACAACCTAGAACATTTAAGATTAAATTCTTGAACATGATGATCCGATCTGTGTATCAAAAGTTATTTTGGGTGGTCCATTTATTTTTTATTTATTTATTTATTCATTTTTGTGCACTGTACAACGAAAAGAAAAAGAAACCATATTAATTAAGAAACATATTTATTAGATAAAAAATGATCTTTCCCTTAATTTAAAAATTATCCATAGCTTTGTTAAATAATTTATACTAAAAAGAGTTGTTATTTATTTTCATAACAATTTCTTGACCTTATTCTTATTATTTTTTAACATTCAGAACACAAATATAATTTTCTTCACAAATTTTCTTTTTATTTATTCTTGTTTTGATAGAGAATGGGAAACAAAGTAGGAAGAACTCGCTGTTCAGGATATTCCTAAATGATTGAAAAATAAAAGGATTCAAATCAATATGCAAAATACAATTAATTTAGTTAATGCAGTAAAAATGGAGTAAATTTGAACTGTTTTACCCTATTGTTTGTCACAGCATGTTCTCATTTGGACCTTGTGCCACTAAACTTTACACTCAATCAATCAATTGTCAACACAGTTATCATAAACTTTTGCAAATAATATGCAAATATTTTTGCTAAAATCTTAACTATAAAGAATAAAAATATAGTTTGAATGAGTTGAGGAATATAACTTCTACTAAATAGGTTCTTTTGTTAATTTTATATATAACGTTAACTGCGTAATATTTCAAAATATTTCAGTAATAGTCTGAAAAAAGTTTTTAGAAAGGAATGATTGATGTAATAAATCCCAATTAAAGAGAAGCAGAGGCCGACTAAAATGAAACATCATTAAAAATAATATGTCTAAGGGTCCTTTTGAATACATTAAAAAAAGAATTTCAGGGAAATATATGAGTATAATAGACCCCTACTTAGTATTTTAAGCAAAATATTTACGAAAAATAAATTTACTTTTATAAGAAAAATTAATGTCATTTAAGATTTGGAAGAACTTTTTCTGATGATTCCAAAAAGAAAAAATCTAGATCTTATTTAGTAAATTATAGAGCAAATGAAAAAAAAGAAAGATTAAGCAATTTATTGTATAAATTGCAGCCCATATAGATTTGTAATCCTAAGGTAATTATATATAGATAATTCAAAATTTGGATAATTCCAAATTTAAACAAAGACTAATTTAAAAAATTTCCTTCTCATTGACAGTTTTTAGACAAAATGTAGAGTTTTAGGGTACAAAAGTTAAATGTAGATTTACTACACCTATCTTAATACAAAAAATATTTAATGCATACTCAAGGTAATAAATCAAAATGGCCAAATACTTTCACTGAACAGATTTAAAAACATGTATTTCAGATTTTTTAGAAAACTATTATTCATTTATATGTATGTATTATGTATTAAATATTAATATTACTGCTATGAAAGTTATTGTTTTTTCTAAACCAATCGAGTCAGGTGGTAAAATCTATCAAAATTTGAAATATATTTATGAAAGGTTCATCTTTGCTTCAAACTATTAATTTTTAATATTGTTCATTTTAAAGTGTTAGCAAATAATAATTACAGTAAATAGTCTATTCATTAGATAAATTAATAATATTCTTTAAATAATATATGGCTAATATCTCAACGTATTTTGCAAAGACAATCCTTATTTTATATTAGTAGTTTGTACATTTGTAGTATTTGTTGTAATGTGAATAGTAGTTTGTTTAAATAGGGCGTAGTAACGTCAAAATTAACTGAAGGTTCAAAAATTTTAGTTTGTAGTTCTCTACTTCATTTAAAAATATTTTTCACTGTCCACAACTGTTGGCATCTCTGTATGGTGTCCCCTGAAAGATTTACTAATACGTATGTCCTTCTGATACTCGAATGGCAAATGTCAATATGGGGTAGGCATTGAAAAAAAATATTTAAAATTTTTTCATTAAGGTAGTAAAATTTCTCCAAGTAGTCAATTTCTTAAAAAGGTTAATATATTTTTTTAAATATTAAGCTATGTGTTGGTTTTTAAGAAAAGGTCTTATGGTTTTCTTATTTACGGTCTTTATCTTTTATTTATAAGTTACTATTCATTATTTATTTTTGGTTAGATATAGAACTCACTAAAAATAAAACATTTTATGTATAGTAAAGTAAGCAATTGCTTTACAAGGAATAATTTCAAGTTCGTAATAATAAGATACTCACTGCTTTGCATTTGTCTAATACACACTTCATATCAATTTCAGACCAAATTGATCCTGGTCCTATATCATTAGGTGATTTTGTCGGCAATCCATCCTAAAAATATATATTACAGATTATTCTTCGAAGATTTTTAACTGAGCTTTTTGCGCAATAAATAATAAGTTATCTTTTTAAATTTTATGACTTAAAAATTTACTATCGTAAAGAATAAAAATACGTGTATGGTCAAAACTACCAGAACATGGTAACATTTACCGTATTCCGGGCTCTATGAAAATATCAAAGAAACTTTGTAATTTTTAGCAAACTGCTTAAGTAATGACTTTTGGTAAAATTTACAGTAAATTATGTTTTAATTACCATGCTCTTTTGTAGTGAATGTGGTAAAATTTGGTAATTTTAACAAAAAATTGGTAATTCTAACAGTAATAGTCGAATTAGAAATAACGCAGAAAATGCTCAGTTTGATGCTCTTTAGTTAATTTAGTAAGCTCCAGTTAGCATTTTTTTCCTTCGCTTAATTGTTTTTATTTCCATGTAAGCTAAAAGCTATCAACTATCGATCTTTCAAATCATAAAAAAGCGTGTTTGCAAACAAACAAGTGCTTAGACTACGATAAACTAAATCAACAGTTTAATTGTTACGCACCAGGGCTGTCCCTACCGTCTAAAATTTAAGATTAGAGGTAGTGGGCTCGAATCCCACCTTAACCACAGATGTTAACATTCAACTTTTTCTAGCTTTTTTTCTCTCGAGTGGTTGTAAGATAGTTATTTTAGTGGTAGTTTTCGGTAGTAAGCAGTAAACAGAAATATTGGTTGTAAACACAAATATATTTTATTCTTAATTTTCAAAACTTTAAGCACTTTACCCTTTGATTATCATGCTCTTCTAATGTACTTTCAATTTATTCATATATAGTGGCTGCCAAACTATATCTAAATTAAATGTATGTATACAAAAATGGTAAAAAATAATATTTTACATGAGATCAAAATAATCTACAACTCTACAAATTGTCACTAAAATCATGTAGACGAAATTGCTGTAGTTATTTCCTCTATATTAAGCTATTTAAACCAGGGCTCGAAAAACCACCCGTCAGCCAATCCTCGGCGGTCAAAAATTCCTCGCGGACAACAAATTTCTCGAATCCAACGTCCGCGCGGACGGCCATTTTTCCGTTAATGTTCGTGATACACTTTCAATTTTTGTTATCTTACAAGAGTCTAGCGTCTCACTTCTAAAATGACCCTCTAATCTAGAAATACAGCAACATACTATGCATGGTGGAATTAATGTTTTCTCTGTCTGGGAGCACTGCAGCGGTTGAAAGAGGCTTTTCAGGAATGAATTTACAAAAAAAAAACACATTACGTACTGGTCTTAAACAAGAGTTAAACGCAATTATGAACATCTACCAGAATGGAAAACCCCTTTCAGATTTCTGTGCAGAAGCCTCTGTAAATCATTGGCTTGATTGTGGAACTGGCAAACGTCATATTTGATTCATTTGACAAGCGTAGTACCCTCGAATAAATTGACATTCCAGATAACTTGACCTTTGTCATTTAAATTATTTCTTAAAAGAAATAAATTATTTCATAAAAGAAATACTAGGTTTTGCTATTAGTAACCTAGTATTTTTTTTATTACTGTATAATGTAATCCTCGTATTTGTAATCCTAGTAACTACTAATTCATTGTGCAATTTATATAAATGTTTGTAATAAATAAGAGAAAATTATAATTTTATTTATTTAGAAGCTACGGGTTAGTTTCAAAGGAGGACGGGTACATTGTTGGGCAAGCCGTCCTCGGGGACGGGTAAAATTTCTGAGTTTTTTCGAGCCCTGATTTAAACCACACTTAAATGCCATTTTTTTGTCGTTCAGCCGAAATTTGTTTTAAGAAGAAATACTTATGCCCTATTGGCAAGTGTATACATCTGTAATTTTGTCTCAGTTTTAACTTTTCAATTTTAGCACTATATTCATTTATGTCATTTTATCCTTTCACCTTTTGGCGGTTTTATGAGCTGTATTTACGGCTGTTTTTGGTGAATTGTTAGATTTTTTGTCTTGTATTGAGGGGTCCACAAGCTCTGGCTCACAGCTCACTCAGTTTTTACTGGTTGTCTCAGGGTTCATAATTTTTGTATTTTATATATATATAATTTTTGTATTTTATTTACATAAGGGTTAATAAGTGTTGTATTTTATATATTCATATAATTTTTGTATTTTATTTATTTAAGGGTCTGTTGACCATTTAAATGATCCATTGTATTTGGCGTATGGGCCTATTGGCCTAGGCCGCAGTATATATAATAAAATTAAGAAGAAATACTTACTTCAGTGTTTGTGCAATTTCGCAGCTGAAAAGAACAATCAATTATCAATCAAATATAATATTATAATGTTTAATCAAATACAATATTGTAATATTCAATCAAATATAATATTGCAATGCTTAATCAAATATAATATTGCAATATTCATTCAAATATAATATTGTAATGTTTAATGAAATATAATATTGTAACAAGTATTGATGTCGAGTCATTTGAAATATTCAAATAATTAATTTTTCTAAAATAACGATTTTCAAACATTTCCTATTAACTATATAATTCCACTGGATTTTAAACTGAGATTTTAAATTCTGTATGTGTTTTTCGATGTTCATAATTTTCTATAATGATTGAAAATGTTTGGAAAAAATAATAGTATAAATTACGTAAAAAGTGCTTAAAGTTCATAAAATGGATAAAAGAAAAACAAATAATCTCAATGGTCTATAAAAACAACAAAATGAATTACACTAGTAGCTTAATTTCCTTTTCTGATTCAGCATGAATAATTAAATGCACATTAAAGTAAGTGCATTAAAATGAACTCTAATGCTTCCTAATAATTCAGGCATTATTTTGGACAATATTTCAAGATTAGCACCAAGCTCTTGCTTAAGAATTCGGCAATTACATTAAATTTACTAGGTGCAATTAAAATAAACAAGCATGCATTTATTTAAATAGGTTTTTTAATGAAAATTTTCTTTACTTCTGTATTTCGGCTTATGAGACATATTTGTAAAATTTAAACGCAAGAAAAAAGTTATTATTTTTTTAGCTTGGTATATTAAATAACAACGTCATATTAAATTATACTGTTAACACTATCTTTTAGCTAACATTTTATCTGAATATTTTTAAAAATATATTATATCCTAAAAGTAATATTTAATTTACAATATTAATAATATTTATATCGCATTTTATTACATGCTCATATAGATTTTATATTTATATCACATGCGATTGTTTTGTTTACAGTATGTTTATAGCATGAATTTGCTGTCATAAAAATTTATACGTATATAACGCCTGTCACGTTAACTTAAATTTTCCTTGAATAAAAGTATCTTCGAAAGAAACTTTTTATTGCATTTTCTTTTTAGTCTCATATCATATCAATTATTTATTATTCCCTATCAATAATATTTTTTAAAAATTTTGAAATACATTGGTGTATGAGGATTCATTTTTCGGAGAAATTTAAATGATAAAATTTTTATCTTTCTTAACCCATTTCTTAACCACGTGGAAACCTATTTAGAAACCAATTTTTTAAAAACATTTATTTGCTAAAAAATTCATGTTAAATTAACAAAAATTGTACAGGTCAACGAGGAACTAAAAATATTTAATCCCGCCATAGTCTTTTTTTTTGCACAATATCATAGAATAGAATATATATTTGTGGGTTTTGCAACATTAACTAACAAAGCATCGAATCATTTGATGTTGTGAACATCATTTTAAAGTTATAAAAATAGTAATGTACTGCAATATAAATCAACAATAATATAAGAACAACAACTGCAGTTGTTTGGAATCGTTATAATTGTATCTTGTTGATTTATAGGAAAAATAGCACGTTATATTCGAATGCAAGACACTGTTGAATTCAGAGTAGAATATCAAAAAAAAAAACAATGAGCAATTATATTGAAGTGCCTTTGTTAATGGCAAAAAATTTATAAAAGAAAAAATTCCAGCGTAAGAGTTGTAACAGAAAAAATTCCAGCTGTCAGATCTCGTTATATCGCGTCTTGTCGGAGAATGAAAAGGTGTGTTCTGAATTTCATGAATGAAATATGTATTCTGAGGAATTTCATATTATAATATTTGGAGCATTTTCATTTAAAAGGGAGGTTTTAAATGAACAGAAAATAATCAGCAAGACATTTTAAATGGTAATACGTTTATAAATAAATTATGATTTATGATAGGACCTTATGCTCTTATTATTTTATAATCGACGTGGAGCAACCGATTAAATTCTAAGTTTATGACTGTCAATGTTCAACTCCGGAACCTTTTAATTTTGATCTCAATTCAGAAGACGAGGGAACTCCTGGATCAAGTATTGGGTGAAACCTGCCTTCATGGAGGACTTTTTTCATAGAACTAACCAGCATTTGCCTTACACGGAGAAGAAAACCAAGAAAACCCTCACTCGGTAGACGTATTGGGTAAGGGGACTCTTAGCCACTGTGGCTGGTGCGATAGGCGGGTTCGCAATTCGTATCGACCAGTCATCGTTTGGATTCAAATCTGGATCACCTCATTGAGAGTTGTTATGCTTTAATTTGGAGTAAAGATGAATTCTGTATGAGTTCTTATTAAAAAAAAAAACTGTATTAAGTTTAGCAAGATGGCATCGTTATATCATGCCTTGTCGTGATTGACTGTTAATTTTACTTTTATTTGCTCCTTAAAAGGAATGTTTAATGCAAATTTAGTACTATACATCAAAAAATTTTTATTACAATACAACTGATATTTCTCTTAATAAAAAATTTTAAAACCTTTTTATTTGAAAATTTAATAAAAATTTTCGCTCCAAAATAAACACAACAGAGTTAATTACTTTTTTAAAAAAAAAATTAGAATCACACCAAGAAATTAATAATTCAATGTATAGTTTAAATATAAATGTAGAAATAAATTTGTTTTACGCCCATTTAATTTCTTACGCTCAGTGTTGTAATTTTCAGCAAAATTGACACTTCATTAAAAAAAAAATTTAAATTGCTTAATTAGTGTGGCTTTCATCTCTGAAAGATGTAGCTTTCAAAAATAAAATAACTCCCACTGAAATGATATAAAATGAAAATCTAATTATCTAGTTCCGTAATTAAGATGTTCACTTACCGTCTGTAACAGAGTCTTTGGATTGCAGTAGGCGCAGTTACTCTGAAAAGGTTGACAAAGGTTTATTTTTTTTAGAAAAAGATAAAATATCATGAGCACATTTTACATTTGACTAACAATGAACATTTTAAATAATTAATGAAGTAGATGATTCCATGGTAAAGGATCAATTAGCAATTCTAATTTTAAAAATTTTTTTCACGAATAAAAAAAAAAACTCAAATGTTAAAAAAGATTTTGACAAATTTATAAAGGGACTTATTTTAAATTATTTTTAAAGATGGATAACACTGGGAATCAAATTTTTATTTTGCTGAATTCATATAAATACTATGATCAAGCCTAATTTGGATGTGGGATTTCAAATATGCAACCGGTATCTCTCTCCCAGCTAGAATTTCTTTTAAATGACATTTTTAGTATATTTATTACTGAACAAATGAATTGTTCTGTATTGAATAAATTGTATTGAATAAATTGTGTATTGAATAAATTTGTATTGAATAAATGTTTTGAATAAATTGTACAAATTTAAGATTTTAATGACTTATAGAAGAGTTAGGGCACATAATTTGGATTTAAAACGCATAGAAAGCAATACTCGGAATGTCATCGTTCTCGACCATGGACGTCTCCTTATTAGGACTTGTTCAGAAACACACGCACTCTCAACAATAAAACTCTCCCTTCTGACGATTTAGCGATCCTTGAGTAGTATTTTATTAATTTTGAGAATTATTTCGTCACGAAATCATATGATTTGTGACGATACGTTAACTCTCAAATATGTAACGAAAATGTTTCCTCAACTCGAAACCTCATCATAGTGCATTATGGGAGATTATGAATGAGAAGGACAATACGGGGGGAAAAATAGATAGTCGAAAATAATGTGTCGAATTATGCCGTTAGGTCTGAACGGTGGCTAAGGATTTGGTTTCGTATCAATAAGACCCGGTGTTCGAATCACGTTTCGGGCATGGGTGTAATCTTATCTCTTTGTTCTTGTTGTGTTGTGCGACCTGTATGGTGCCCGTGTTTAAGTAATTACCAGAAAAGTTTACATTATGTACTATGAGTGAATGACAAAAAAATTCTTTAATTTTGACAATATTAATTTCCTCAGAGGAGTGAGGAAATTTTTTTCGTCACTTAGACGAAATTGTTACTCGTAGCATACACAGGAAAACAGTTTAGACAAAAACGAAGATAGGTACGCGATATTTGAATGCCCATTTTTGACAGTAAGAAAAAACAGTTCATAATTGCGAAGTGCCCGTTGCTGCAGATGGCGGCATTTGTGGTATGGTTTCTTAAACTGCATTAATCCTCTTGATGTCCCTTAAATCCCATTGCAGTTTGTTGCTTTATTTACGCGATGCTATTATATATAAAGTTTTTGAACTTGTAAATTTCGACAAAAAATCGACTAAAAATATCCTTTTAAAATAAATCTGTAGCTAGGAGAGAGAAACCGTTTGCAGAATTGACATCAGCGATGCACAAGTATCTAAGATCTGTTAAAAAATATCTTGCAACGGAAAAAAAAATTGTTCTCCCTTGAAATTCCTTTAAAACAAAGTATTTAAAAAAGTTTCTCATGCTATCAGAATATTTCTTTATGAAATAAAAGTAAATAATGGTTCATGAAATAAAATGTTAATCTATAAAAAAAAATTTTTGTTTTTTGCTATTCTGAAAAAATAGCCTATAAAATTTAAAAAGAAAATAGCCGACCAGATAGTGTAGTGGTCAGGGAGCTGACCATACATCAGAAAGGTCCTGAGTACCAATCCCGGACAAGGCATGGATGTTTTTTCATTCTCTATACTATCGGTCCTTACTGTGGGAACAACGTTGGCCCACTTAATATGGTGCCCCTGAAAGAGTGGCCGACAAATCTGCTCTACTAATATGTTTGAATGACGAGTGTCAATCGGGTGGTCATTGGAAAAAAAACTATTCTGAAAATATATTGAGTTATAGAACAGTTTTTAAAAAAAATATACTCAGTTTAACCGAATTATTCTAACGCAAAAAAAAGTGAATGTAAATGAAATTTAAAGTTATATTTTTAAAAAAAAATAACCATTTAAGGTTGGTAGATAAAGACATTTTTATTCAGAAATGTAGAAAAAATTATTTCATAATCAAAACAAATGACTATTAAAAGTAATAGGCAATCTTTGAAACTGAGAGTGTGCATAAAACTCAATATTTTCGTATTTTGATGAGCTTGTACCAGAATTGATAAAAATTAAGTATTATTACTTTATTGTGCATAATTTTATTATGTAACTCACTTGATCTGTTGCTGTTCCTGTATCTTTGAAGCAAAGACGTATAGCCTAATATAAAAAAGGAAAGCAAAATAATTAGCAGTATAATTATATTTTATATAAATTAGCGTTTCAAAATTTTTCAATTAATTTAATTAACCCTAATTTTTTAATTGAGTTTAAATCCAATATCCAACCAAAAAATTTCACCTAAACGTAGATACTAAAAAGGGTCTTTGACACCAGGTTTTAATAGCAACGCTTACGTGCTTAATGCGTGTAAAAAATGATTAATCTAAGTAACATTTGATCTAATGATCAGATTTTTTCGAGAACTATCAGTATGAGAGATTTGAGGGCCTAATCATAAATATAGGTTTGCATATTTTGCAATACCTTGGAAAAGTTTCAAGTGAATTTTTAAAAAAATTTGGGCACTTTTCGCAAATTTAATTATCTATGCATTAGAATAACTCCATTAAAATTTTCTTTTAAGTAATTACTTATTATTATTTATTTAATAATAGTAAAAGTACTAACAACATATTACATCATTTAAGAGAATGTAAATTTAAATTAAAAAGTACTAAATTTTTAAAAAAATGATGGGGTTGCTCTTACGAAATCGAATTTCAAAAATAGGTTCCTTGTGAAATTTAGTTACTCAGAAACTATCAACCGATTTCATTCAGATTTTGTATTTTATCAACGCATTAATTATTTGCATTTTTTTTTATTCTTTAAGATAATGTAAAAATTGCATGCCTTGGAATTTAAAATTTTCGACCATTATGTAATAAAATATTAAAAAAATAAATAAAACATAAAAATATAAAATATTATTTTTTTTTCTAGTAAAAACACAAATCTGAGAAGTAAAATTTACCGAATAAATATTTCTGCTGCTTTGCTCTATGGTCTCATGATAAATTTGACAAATTTTACCTCTATTTCAAAGTTATATCGCTTGTTATAAAATTATACCTTATTGCTAAGTTTGTAGTCAATTGTAGTCAAAACACTTAAGTAAAAACTAACGAATTTGGATGCGTTTTCGTAGACCAAGAAGCACGGTGTATTTTACCTTATTCTGGTAATTTTTATCATACTTTTTTAAGAGCAAATTACTCGGCATATTTAAGGTTAGGCCTTCGAACTCTTAAGATTGAAGATTAATGTTGAATGCTTGAAAATCCAATTGTAAGAACAAAAGTTAATCTTTCTAAGTCACTTTTTGTGCTCAGTACGTTGGCGATTTTATCTTTACTCTTTGGATAATCCAACTTTTTGAAAAAAATAAAAATATAACATATAATGCTTTCTCAGAAATATGTATTCAATATTGTATTAAAATATGGGTACCTTAAACCATATAACGAAGAAAGTTTTCTTCAAATTCAATACAATACTAAATTGAACAATGTTTCTATTCAATTTAAATCATAAAACCATCTAAGAGTATTTAGAATGCAGGTTATAATATATTTGAACATATCCTCTAACTCAGGTTGTAGCTGATTGCTTTGAGTACAAACAAGTACCCTAAACAAGAGTGTATTTGCATTATATATAAGCGATCACGTTTTAATAAAAAAAAACAATATAAAAATGATACATTTAATGGAATAATGCATTTTGAAATTAGTAAATGCCTTACCATACTTAAATAAGCACAATAATAATTGCAGTATCTAAATACTCAACATCATATCTTAACTACGATATTTAATTTCCCACTTCGACATCTAAATTATAATAACTAAATACCCCCACCCTTGTTTCATGCATTTATTCTACCTTCTTTATCATAAAATTGACTTTTAGATCGTTAAATTCCACCGCATACGTAAGCATTTCGATAATTCAGCTTTTATGATTAAATAAAAAAAAGATTATACTCAAAATATACAGAACTCGATCAGTCTATACTGCTCAATTTAGTGAGTTAACTGAGTTAGAATTCTCGTGTATCCACCTTAAAGAAAGAAATGCTAGCGACACGTAATTTTACGCGCTTGAAATTGTCTAAATATTAAATATAATTCCTATGTCTGTAAATATTTTTTATAAATTAATTACGGTCGGTAAATAACAAATAAAAGGCTATTTCACACAATTTATAATTTTATTATGTTTATTGGCCATAATTGGGTACTCGCAACTCAAGAAGAAGCTTTCTAAATGGCATCTATCATACTGTACTCAAAGTTATATAAATTTCTAGATTTCATTTTATTTATTTACTTATTACTTTAGAATTTATGTTATTATATAAAGTTGTGTATAGTTTAACTTCTTACTGTAATTTTTAGAAAAAAAATTAAAACTAAATGTGAAGTTCTCTAATATCGGACTATTGTCTCCATTGGTTTTATTATTAATAGCCTACTTTGCTTTTTAATTTTTGCTATTACTTTTAATTTATCAAAATTTGCAGCTTATCGCAGGCTAAGATTATCTTTTTACTCTTATATGGGATGAAGGCACTACATCGCCTCATGAGAGCCAAAATTTTTTCTCTAACTAACCAACTCAAACAGCCTCCAGTCCATTTCAACGTTATCCAGATATTTAGCAGGTGGTCTTCGTCATTTATGTGTACCATTAATTTTAGAGAAGATAATTTTTTCTTTGGATTAGCTAGAATTGTTTAACGTTTGAAGAAATGAAATGATTAATTTGCTTTAAGAATAGTGTGGAATTTGTAATTATTTTTTATTTTTTTTCTAAATTATTAGTTAATAATGAAATGCTAGACTGCTTGCACTTTATTTAATTTTATTTAAATAAATATATATAGAAAAAAAGGTAGTCTTACATGTTTTACTATTATTCTGAAGAACTAGTTTTATATGTAGCATCTAACTCAATATGATATACTTATAATTTTAAAAACCTGTTTGTTTATTTCTAAAATGAAAAGGGAAGCATGCATGGAATTCATATAAACTGTTGTATCAAGGAAAATTAATAATATGGGATTTTTAAAAAAAATCGAATGATAATAGCGGTGGACCTGAAAATTTTAATTTTCAGTAAGTAGTCAGAGCCCGGTAAACTCTAATAACTTAGATACTTTTATCTCAAACTTAATAAGTTCAAGACCGATATCGCTGCTTTTCGTTTAATAGCTACTTCTTAATTTTTTTTTTTTTGCTTGTGTCAAATTTTATTTAAAGAAAATTATATTAGGAACAATCTACGACTATATAAAGTTAATTTAACTTTAAGTTAAATATCTGATAAAATTTAGTCAAACATACTGAATTTCCAGAACTTTAAATAAAAATATTTGTTGAGACAAAATCCATTTAATGTATATATTACAACTTTGAAACGTGTGAATCGTAAACAACTCTCCTTTCCACCACAAATTAATGGATTCGAAAAGATCAAAATTTTGAATTGGGACATTGGACATTTAAATGAAAATTATGCTTTCCAGACTCTTTCTACATTGATGCACTTTTAATCATTGGACGATTTTTGGAAAGCGACGGGAAAAAATGACCAGTTGTTTATTGCCACTTCTTTTGTTGACTCACCGTGTGGCTTTGGTTATTTTCAGGTCCAGCTGATACTATCCATCAGATACTTCTGCAATATAACAATGTTGCTGCGAAATTTTTTTAAAAACTATCTTAGCCATAATTAAATCAATTAGCAAGAATTAAAATTATGCAAAACATACGTAAACAAAACGAATAACTTTCTTCTGAACGAATATAATCAATAACTTATATAATAATATTTTTCGACATCCCAGATATTTCCAAGAAATCTATATAAAGTGCATTATCATATTTCTGAAGAAAGCTGAATCCAGACATACTTCATTTTAAAAATTGTTTATCCATGAGAATTTCTCCTGACAGAAATTTAATAAACTTTAAGAAGATGTTTATGCATTCCGCCGCTGAAAATTTTAAAATCCTGCAGGAAACAAGCAATTCTGAATACCAGAATGCAAAATTCAGCCAAATACATAAACGCCAACAATTCCTTTTGCCTCCACAGCAACCGAATCTTATTTGGTGAAGGAGCGCGAGGCAGTGTTTTGCGTCGGGGACCCCCTAATCCAACCGACATGCCACATCCAATAAAAGACGATCACGTTCTTTTTGGATACAAAGACCAGGACAACAGAACAATCTTTTCGAAGGCCGGAACAAATTGAAAGCCGGGAAGAAATAGAAGAGCGAATAAACGAACAGCTTGTGCTAATGGAAGAAGAGTTAGGAAATTTAGTGGGATTTCCGCTGCATTCTAGTCGTAAATGAAATTCCGTTGATGGGGTGACATGAAATGAAGTACATCGATCAGTTGGTTTTGGAAGACGATTTTTCACTTTCTTAAGTACTTGTATTTATGAGTGCTAATTTGATTTCTGACTAGTTGATGCCAGTTTCTATGACAGTAACTCTCATAAAAGTATCTAGTTCTGCATGCTAGTTCTAGAAGAGAACTTGTGAACCTTATTAACTAGTACACGGTGAAAGTAAGGCTAACAACAATAGGAATTTGTGCATGTTTTTATCTCGAAGTTCATTTTTTATAAATTGTTACAATTTTTTCCTGTAATTCTCGTTAATCCTTTGATGTTTTCGCATATAAAGATTTTCTTCACAACGCCGTTTTCCGGTCAAGCAAAAAAATTAATTTTGCTGTACAGAAGCAGTTTGTAATTCAACCTGCTGATTTCTATTTTATTTTATATTTTATTTTGCATTTTATAACCGTCGTTGTGAACAGCCAACTCAATTTTGAGTTTGCGAACGTCAATGTTCAACTCCGTAGCCTTGTAATTTTGACAAGATCCAGAAGCCAAGGGAACTCCTGGATCAAGTGTTAGGAGAAACGTGCCTTCATGGAGGACTTCTTGACGGAACTAAGCTTCATTTAAGTTACGAGGAGAAGAAAACCACGAAAAACTCCCACTGTTTATCTGACTGCAAAGCGGCTATTACCCGTGATCAGTTTGCCACTGAGGATATTTTAAATCAGCTGTATGGTGTGATTAGTGTAAGCTGGGCTCAGAATTCGTATCGACCAGCCATCGCTAGGAGTCA